GTTTGTTAAGTGACTGCCTTTGGCTCAGGTCATGAGCCCCGCATCAGGCTCCCTGCTTGGCGGGAAGCCTGCTTCTCCCTCTCCCACTCCCCCTGCTTGTGTTCTCTCTCTGTCGCTCTCTCTCTCCCCCCCGCCCCGTCAATTAAATAAATAAATAAATAAAATCTTAAAAAAAAAAAGAGAGAGAGAGAAATGCAATTCAAGGATCAGGATCAGAGAAGTGAGGGGCGCCTGGGTGGCTCAGTTGGCTAAGCGACTGCCTTCGGCTCAGGTCATGATCCCGGGGTCCTGGGATCAAGCTCCTTGCTCAGCGGGGAGCCTGCTTTTCCCTCTCCCTCTGCCTTCTGCTCCCCATGCTTGTGCGCTCTCTCTTTCTCTCTCTGTCAAATAAATAAATAAAATCTTTAAAAAAAAAAAAAGATCAGAGAAGTGTCAGCTAAACTCAATCTGAATAGATTAAGTTGCAGTCTTAATTTTTAAAATATTTTCTCTCACATATTCTGTGTCTGCCTTCTCAGGTTTCTTCCTCTTTTTCTCTATCTAACTTACTGAATATATTAGGTAAAATTACATTGCTCCAGGTTAAAAATCATTTACTCTATCATGAATAAAGTGCCCGGAAAAATAGGCTCCAGATATGGGAGACAGTGATTTAGACCACTTACGACTATTTTACAAATTCTAAGACAGGGTTAGGATTTTTTTTTTTTTCCCAACTAAAAACAATTCAGAGAAAATATTAGAATACACAAGTAAATAAATTTAATTCGGGTGTTTGGGTTTTTATGTCGAGAGAAATATAACAATGAGGAGGCTTCTTCCATCTTTGTCTACACAAGAAAAATACTGTTTTTATAAAGTAACGTTCCCATTCATTCAACAGATATCTATCAAGTGTGTTGATTTTGAAGATGTTGCTGCTAAATATTTTTAAATCTTATTTCCCTTTTCACAGGTCTAGGGGGACATGGCATTTTGCCCATTGGGCATCTGACCCATCCCCTCAGCCCCTTCCCTGAGCTTGAAGATATAATGACTTGAGTTATTTTAGATCAACTTCTGTGAATGTTCTGATAAACTTCACTTTCATTAGAACACACTCAATAAACTAGACTCATCCCAGAAACAGTACTGTGCCGGGTACTGCACTCCCGGGATATACAGCAGTAAGCAGGATTTAAAGTATGTGATCTTGTTCTACCTTCTTGCAGTTAAGCTTTCCACAACATTTGCTTCCTGATATGGAGATTTTTTTTTTTAATAGAAAAGTGAAGTGGCTTAAACTATTAAAAGATTTAAGAAAATCGGAAAGTAGTATGGTACCAGGAAATCCAGAAGGAGTCGATGCATGGAGAAAACATTGAGGGAGGCAGGACCTCAGTTAGGGATGGAGTAAGAAACTCAGATTTTGGCTTAATTCAGAAAGCACTTGCTAAATCAGTCAGTTTGTTAGCAGTAAATTTTTATCATTGAATTATCTTAAGGGAAAAGGAAAAGGGCTTTTTTTTTTTTTTTTTTTTTTAACACCTGGAGGAACACTGATGTCAAAAAAGCACCGATTTGTGGAAGAGTATTATTTGTGGTCAGGAAGTTATGTAGTGCCAACAACAGTGAAAACACAGCCCTTGATTGCTTGGATGGAGAGCAAGCCAAGGTTTGTGGCAAAGGGGCTGTTGGAAGGGAAGGTGAAGTTAGGGAAGGCCATGGTGTTCAATGAGAAATGCCAAGATTTTGGAGAAGGGAACAAAGCTAAAATCGTGCCATGTGGGTAGAACTGAAAGGAAAGAGCCTGACAAGGCTGTTCAGCATCCTTCTTCCCTCCACAGTTTCTGTTCATGACCCTGCCCCCACACCTTGTTGCAGCAGTTTGCAGCTACTATGGTTTCTAGTCAGCCATGCTTTCTTCTTCCCTACAAGACTCACTGCGGGTGAGGTGGAAGAGAATGTGTGCAAAAAGCTGGGGAAAGGCTGAGGCTATGCCACTGTGATCCAAAATCAATTTGGAAGAAGGGTCGTTTCTGTGGATGCTACCCACAGTTGTCAAATTGTGGCCACTGGCTTTATTAACAATTAGACTATTATTTGTCACCGGAAGTCTGTTAAAGTATTGTGAACCTACCTCTGTTTATGAACATCATTATTTCCATTTAGCCATTTTTAAAGAAAGCCCACCATTATGGTCATGACTTTGCTTGGAAGTAAATGGACCTTCCTGCTCAGGATCATTCTTTAAGAGTCATAATCAGCTTTAGCTTCTAAGCCTGACCAAATCCCAGCTAATCACCCAGCCCCCTTGGGACAAGGTGCTATGATACTCTAGAATTAAGATTATACCTTTAGCACTTATTTGATAAACAATCTTTGCATCTAAAATAAAATAAAATAGGGGTGCCTGGGTGGCTCAGTCGTTAAGCGTCTGCCTTTGGCTCAGGTCATGATTCCAGGGTTCTGGGATCGAGCCCCACATCGGGCTCCCTGCTCGGCAGGAAGCTAGCTTCTCCCTCTCCCTCTCCTCCTGCTTGTGTTCCCTCTCTCGCTGTGTCTCTCTCTGTCAAATAAATAAATAAAATCTTAAAAAATAATAATAAAATAAAATAAAATGTTGGTCTATTTTTAATGTTGACAACAGATAACCATATATAAACATTTTATCTGAACTTTTTGGTATCTTTACCACTGAAAATAGAGTATGTCCCAAATTAAACTCCTATTCCCTCCCAGACCTATACCCCATCTGCTCCCTCTCTCAGTAAATGATACAACAACATCCATCCACTGAGTCTCAGTCTAGAACCTGAGAGTCGTTCTGGCCTCTTCCCAGCTCTTTGATGACCTGAACATAAAGTTGGTCTTTAACCCGAGCAGGTGTGCAGTAGTTTCTTAGGCCAAGAAACAAATGTATCACATACCACTTCCTTTCTCCATTTCTTTTTTCCTTTTTTCTCTCTCTTTCTTCCTAAATCTTCCTAAGATACTCACTGAGTATCTGTGACAGGCTAGGCACTATACTAATGCTGATTCTTTGGACTCCAGGAGCTCATAGGCTAGCAGCAGCTGAAGACATGGGAGTTACAGTACAATGTGATAGGCCCAAAGAAGATGTACCTACAAGCAAGTTATATTGAGCTTGTAGAGCAAGTCAACCCTCACAAATTGGGTGCTGCTTCCTGAGTTTTAAGTAACAATTTTGAGATAGCTACGTGGTTAACAAGAGAGAAACTCTGGGGCAGAGGAAATAGCATATGCAAAGTCAGAAGTGTCGAACCAGCTCATGGCAGGTCGGACAGTGGTATAGAATGGCTTCCAGATCACCAAGTGCAAGGGGAGGTGGATGAAGCTGCATGGGGTAGGCAGAAAGCAGATCATGAAGCCAAGAGTGTAAGCTGAAGAATTTTATTTCTAGGAAATTGAAGTCATTGAAGATTTTGGTAGGCAAGTAAATAAATCAGTTTTGCATTTTAGGAAGGTCACTCTGGCAGAGTATGAAGAATGAATTACAGGTCAAAGGAACCTTGAAAAAGGCCTGTATTACAGTTAAGGTTAGTTGTGATACTGGAAGTGGCATAGAAAGGTAGAACTACAGAGGTAGAGACTGGAGGAGAGATGCTTAGGAGGCTTTGATTCAACATGAGTTTGCAGGAGAGAGAGGGAGCCTGGATGGGCTTGGGTCTCAGGTGGAAAGATCACAGAGATAGAAAGCAGAAGGTGGAGGATGGGTGGGAGAGAATAGGAGTTCTCTTTTGGGTATTTGGAATTTCTTTGGCTTATGGAATCATCCAAGTGGTGTTATCAAGTGTGCTGTTGGGTGTACAAGATAAAGAGGAACCCATGGGGACAATGAGAAAGAAAGCAGGTAGAGGAGGAGATTCAGGAGATTCATGTTGAGCCATGGAAAGAGCTTTAAGAACAAGTGGTCATCAGGGTCAAATGCTCTCAGCAGTTCATGTGACAATAGGATTCAAGGATGTTATTAGTGACCCAAGAAGAACAGTGTCAGTAGCAGGGTGAGCATGGATACCAGCTGCAGCAGGCTGACAGGAGGAAGGTGAGGAAGTGGTGTGTGTGTTCCTCTTTCAAAAGGATGAGGCCTGGAAATGGGCCAGTCATATCACAGCTCTCTCACCAGTACCTAGCTGAGCCCCTGACACAGCGTGCCTTATAATATTTGTAATAATTTCATGAGAGGAGAGAGAGATTCTGGCAATGGCCAGATCTGGTCCCAGGATCCAGAGAGAGCTTCTGTGATTGGTTTGCCCTTAGCCACGAGACAATGGAGCATGTCAGTACACTAAAGCAGGGGGGCCACTGCAGGAAGAGAGCATTAGGGCACAGGAACAAGACACAGGATGGAACAAAGTTCCCAAGGAAAGTAAGAGGAGTCGATCCATAGCATGGGTAGAGGATTGAGGTGAACCAGAAGAGAGAGATGGCTATAGGATTTGTAAGGACGAATTCACAAAATTATCAAGAACTTGAGAGGCTCACAGGTGATAGTTTTTTTTCTGCAAAATAGGAATATAATGTCATGTGTGAAGAATGAGGCAAGAGAGATAGGATAAGATGCCTGAGAATATGGATGCTTTGGTCCAACTGACTTGGGGGTCAAAAATGTTACAGACCAGGTACATGAACCCTATCCTTGGATGAAGTAAGAGCTGGGCAGTGCTCCAGCTCTGGCCTTGCCCAGAATCCCATCTCTGAGGATGAAGCATTTAGACCCACCTCTGTGATGCTCTAATTACCTCCCCCTACCTTTGACCTAGTTCACTGTGCTCTGAGCTTATCCCCCTTGATCAGGCTCTGGTTTTTCCCCACTTAATAACAAGGACAAAGTATAGTGGCAGATTTCCCGATTATAATAGTGGCAGATTTCCCACTTCTAATAGAATGGAATTCTTTAAAAGCAAATGTGTTGCAATTGTTGGTTACATGGGAAAAAAAATGCATCAGCAAATCAGTTAAATAGCATCCTATTATCATTGCTTCTTCTTTTCTTCCAGAAGTCTACTATGCAACCGCGTACTGGATGCCTGCTGAAAAGACAGTGCAAGTCAAAAAAGTACTGGACAGGAATGGGGACGCCTATGGCTTTTACAATGACTCTATGAAAACCACAGGCTGGGGCATCCTGGAGATCAGAGCGGGGTATGGTTCTCAGACCCTGAGCAATGAGATCATCATGTTTGTGGCTGGCTTTTTGGAGGGTTACCTCACTGCCCCGTAAGTACTTCAGTCTTCAGTCATGGTGGAGAACTACCAGGCAACTCTATCCCTTTCTTTGTCCACCAGTGGCTTTGTCTTCCTGACATTGGACATTAGAACTGGAAAGTAGCTGAGGTCCCTCTCATAGGATAGAAACATGATCAGAATCCCATTTTCACCTCCAATCAGTACCTGCTTTGGAAGGAACAAAGCCCCCAATTGTGGCATTCTTCCATTCTCGTGGCACTTAAAATCTTTCTTTTTGTGAAACTGTTTTAAAATACAGCTAAGCCATTTTATCCTACTAGCCATTTATTGTCTGGTAGAAAGAAAATGATGGGTGGAGTGACCGAGAAACACAAAACACAGAGGATTCGTTAAATTTAAAATGTAAGAGCATTTTTTCAACAGTCTTAAAACAATACTTTCAAGTGGGCAAAGATTTTAAATTGAAATCCTGATGTCTAATATAAACAGTCCTTCCGGTTCTATTGTTACTTAATTCTTACATCTTTCCCATGTCTTATGAAAATAACAAGGATGTAGTTAATAATAATGCAATCAGGACACATCCTTTTCTGAGATAAGCTCTTTAAGAAGCTTGCAACTCATTTAATCAAGCCTCATCCTTTCTTTGATATAAAAAATGTCTTGATGATTTGGCTTTTTTCTTTTATTATCTGTGACCTAGACGCTTGAGGGCAGTTTAACCAAACCCTATTGTGTGCTGTTACCACCTTTGTGAGGCACCTTATTAAGTGCAGTGCCGATCTTAATTTGTTTCTAAGTGCTGGAGATTATATCAAATGTTGAATAACTAGTTCTTGTGTTCTGATATCTCTTTTTTAATGAACTAGAAATTCCTGTTTTTCTTTTTATACCAAATTTTTATTACTCTACCATACAGGTCCCTTTAATGGTATACTACTCAGAGATGTATAAAACTTGATAAATGGATTAAGATTTTAAAAACATGTTTAGGGGCGCTTGGGTGGCTCAGTTGGTTAAGCGTCCAATTCTTGATTTCGGCTCAAGACACAATCTCAGGGTCATGAGATTGAGCACCCTGTCAGGCTCTGTGCTGGGCGTGGAGCCTGCTTAAGATTCTCTCTCCCTCTCTCTTTGCCCCTCTCTGCACAAAAAAATTAAAAATTAAAAATTAAAAAAAATGTTTAAAACTGTAATTCATATAAATATAAATATATATAACATATAATCTGAACATTTCATCCTTCTCTACAAATCTATATTTACTGTGTATCTACTAGTTCTGATTGCATTACTTAAATTGAGTTGCAAGTTTAGAGAAATAATTTGGGCTGAAATTGTGTGGCTATAAATACATTAGGTTATCATGAGTGCTATACATAATGGGCCTTTAAGGGAAACTGTGATTTGAGGGAGCAGCTCTAATCTGAGACTGTGGTAAGGATGAGCATGTCTTCTGTGGGTATGGGTATCACAACAGGAGCTTTAGGGAATTTGCCAGAAGGCTTCTGACGAAGGTAGAATGTCTGATATTCTTATGTCTCAGGAAAACATAGATTTTAACATCTCACTTCTAGGGGTAACTTTATCACTTTACCCTTATTCTTAATATAAAGCATTGATCTATCCTTGAGTACCTTTATCCATTGACAAAGAAGATCCATAGAAATACAGGTTAATATCAATTCTATTAATAACTTTTTTTTTAAAGATTTTATTTATTTATTTGAGAGAGAGAAAGTGAGCGAGAGAGAGCACAATCAGGGTGAAAGGCAGAGGGAGAAGCAAACTCCCCGCTGAGCCGGGAGCCCGATGTGGGACTAAATCCCTGGACTCCAGGATCATGACCTGAGCCACAGGCAGACGCTTAACTGACTGAGCCACCCAGGCGCCCTATTAGCAACTTTTTAAATACTTCTGTATTAGAGTAAAATTACTTAAATTTTATTTCTTAAAAGGAAAACAGTTAGCTATTATTCAGTAACTGGGTTTTTTTGTTTGTTTACTCTGCATATTTGCCCACTCCTTTCAAAGAAAATTCAACATGTGTGAGTCTTTTAAGATGAAAATAACTTCCTGGGGTACCAGGGGGCCTAGTCAGTTGAGCGTCCAACTCTTGCTTTTGGGTCAGGTCATGGTCTCAGGGTCGTGAGATCGAGCCCTCTTTTTCTGGGCTCTGTTCTGGGTGCGGAGCCTGCTTTAGACTCTCTCTCCCTCTCCCTGTGCCCCTCCCCCCCACCGTCCACTTGCATGCTCTCTCTCACAAAAAAATAAGAATAAATAAATAAATAAAAACAACTTCCTGCATATTGTGACCCATTTTGAGGATCTGGCAACTGAGTCTTCCCTCCCTTCAGGCCAGTAGCCGCCCCTGTGAGCAAATGATCAGGAGTAAGGAAGAGGTGGGTATAGTAACCTCAGTGAATACTGGTTCATTAAGGAAAAGTTGGCAGACTCTTCTTGGGAACATTTCTGCTGCAGAGAACAGCCTGGAAAGAGGGCTTGAATCATAAATACTACAACAGTCCAAAAGGAAGGCACCTCATGGGCCAGAAGTCAAAGAAGGCTTTGTGGAAGGAGTGAGTGGTGGGTCTGGTGATTGATGGGTGAGAACATTCGGCTTGGCTGGGAAGAGGAAGAAAATAATGCTGGGCAGAAGGAAACAGAACCAAGTACTGAAAAAAGGCAGTGAGTCTGAAATGAGTAAGTTGCATTTACAAATGAGCGAGAGAGGAGTAGAGGCTCCATTGATTAGGCAGAGGGCAACAGGTTTAAAAAGGTAGATGGGGGCCGTATCCTGGAAGGCTTTGGATGGAAGCCTGCCCATTCGGCAGCTGTCATTCTTCATTTCAATCATAGAGCGCTCAGAGGTTTCTTGAATTTGAAAGACAGCATCTCTGTTTTATATTCATTATGACAGTTCAAGGATATCATCTGCTCCAAGGATGGGTTTCCCAAAGATGCAGTACCAAGAGTCTTGAGAGGACCTCTGCCCTGCAGAGACTTTGATAGATCTCATGGAACAGAAGATGTTGGTGATCAGGAAGAACCGTGACAAAGAGCCAAAGGGGCTGGATGGAAGAGAGAAGTCAGGTATTTGTATATTTGAACAAGAAAGAGAAAGAAAAAGAGAAAGAGAAGGAGGAGAGGATAAAAAGGGAAAAGAGGAAGGGAGCAAGGGAGGAAGGAAGGAGAACAGAACCAAAAAGAGGAAAAGGAAGCATTGCAGCCAAAACTATCGTTAGAAAGACAGTTCCCATGAGCACCTCTTAAGAGGCTGTCATTCTAATCACATGCCTGAAAAGTCAATAAATAGGGAAGATTTCCCAGCTTGCATTGAAAGGACTTACTCTGTGCCTAGCTCGAAGCTCACAATAGTGCGATGTGACCCAGCATGCTTAGAACATCCCTGGCAATGGGCTGGAGAAGAGAGAAGCAGAGAGGAGGCCATCAATTTCCTCCCTATGGTCCAGGAGAAGGCTTGTCATATATTCTGATGCCCAAGAGCTCATTTTGAAGGAAGGAGAGCTGCGAGATGGAATGCGGAATCTGGGCTCCCAGTGATAAGAGCTCCAGGAGGGAGACAGAACAGAGGGCATACTGGAAGGATTCACAGGACTGCAACTCCCAGACTGCAGGCACCGCCAAAGACTTGCTGCAGTTGGCCACACAGCCGTACAGCCCACCGACACTCCTGACCGAGCTGTGAGAGGCAGGGTGGCTGCCTCTGAGCAGAGCTACTCGGCATTCTCTGAAGCAAAGCAGAGGAGCTTAAACTGTTGGCCCTCTGGAAGCTGTGGCTAGAGTCACAAACCAACAGAGGAGGAGGACTACATGTCACAGGCAAGGGTTTTGTTTGTGTTTGTTTTCAGCTACACATGGGCAACTGTCTGAGAAGCAATAGCATCTTCATACACAGACATCAGTTTTTCAATCTAAAACCTATACTCCTGGAGACTGTTACTTGGAGGTGTTTTGCAAGGTGTGATTCCACTTACCAAGACACAGCTTTGGAGCAAGAGCATCTGCGGGGGTGCTTGGGCTCAGGTCATGATCCCGGGGTCCTGGGATGGAGCCCCACATCGGCTCCCTGCTCAGCGGGGAGTCTGCTTCTCCCTCTCCCTCTGCCGCTCCCCCTGCCTGTGCTCTCCTGCTCTCTCTCAAATAAATAAATAAAATCTTAAAAAAAAAAAAAAAAAAGAGCAGCTGAGCCTGGTTTGAGAAGGTGAATTTATGCCAAAGGCCAAAAGAAAGAGCCCCCTTTTCTTGTTTTCCTTTTTTTTTTTTTTTAAGATTTATTTATTTATCTGAGAGAGAGAGCGGATGTGTGTGCACGCAAGCAGGGGGAGGGGCAGATGGGAGAGAATCTCATGCAGACTCGGTGCTGAGCGCAGAGCCTCACGAGGGCCTCAACCTCACAACCCTGAGATCATGCCCTGAGCTGAAGCCAAGAGTCCCAAGCTGAACCAACTGGCCACCCAGGTATGCACCTTGTTCTCCTTTCAGCTTGCAAAGTTGCTCAGGCAGCTGCCAAGAGCCGTGGGAAGTTTAGGGCCGCCATGTTCTTCCCACATCACCACATTTAAAATGGAGTGACATTCCTTATATTCTCCAGAACCTTGAGGGGAGAGAAGTGTGTGCGAGGTTGGGTATTGTGGTAAGAACAGTTGAGATACTGTGATAAAGAGCTTGGTTTAACTACCTTGGAGGAAATAATTTGCTCTTTCCAACCTATGACATACTTGCGAGGCCAAATGAAAACAAAGAAATATCCTGAAATCCTCCATCATTTCATTTGAAGTGTTCAGTAATTGGTTGCTTCCTTGAACTCTTACAAACACTCTCCAGACAGCCCTCTGTACTTTCTCACGAAGTCCCAGGCCATCTACAGTCCTGCCACTGCACCGTTATCCCAGGGGGTAGAGTGGAAGCAGCAGGTCTAGCCGGGCCACATCATGGAGGCAGCTGTAGACATTTCCAGGGGCTTCTCTCACTGTCTTGCCCTTTCTCAGGCTCTCCCGCCCCCGCCC